CTTTCCCTCTATCACATACAGAGGTTATATATTTGTTTTGATAATGTCGTAAACACATACACTTTTTAATAATTTAGCCATTTACTACCATTGAATATTATTATTGAAATATGTTAATGAGAACGATTTTCTCTTCGATAGAAGAGAAAAAAATACATGCATTATCAAACGACTACGTCATAGTATTTGTAATTGTCTTTTAATGACATATGTTTGTTTAGAACTGTATGGTTGTATTTTTCTCTTTTTTTTTGAGAGATACATTTTTTCTTGCACATAATCCGGAAATGCCGAAATTACTAGTGAAACAATATTTTTTTTTTTTGCGTTGTATATTCTCTAATATAATTGATGATAAAGTCATGTGCTATTACTCCAAAGTATGTATAATTTTAATTTTTATTATATTTGAGATATTGTGATATTATATAATATCATTATATAATTGAAAAACAATAAATCTAATTGATTCGATTTTTTACATTTATTTTATGTCATTAATTTTTATATCAATAGTATAGCATAAAATATTTTCTATGTGTGTGTGTGTGTGTGTGTGTGTGTGTGTGCGTGGTAATATTTTCCCCTTCAAATTATAAATTATTGTTTTCAACACATATATACATCTTATTATACTTTACTTTACTATTTTATTCGCACAGGTATAATGGTAAATGAATGATGATGGCATATTTTGATAAAAATAATGAAGCATCAAAAGGTGCAAGAGCAAAACAGGATGAACAATATGAAATTCCAAAGAACAAAAATGTAACAAAGACTGGCTTAGATGTATTATATACATCTCGAGTAGATCGCAATGTAACTGATGAAGATCTGGGAAGGAAAATATTATCATTGAAACATTTATTAGAAAAAGATCCAAAAGCTGCTGATTTGAAATGGTCTCTTTTCGTGGCAGCATCCAATACTTACCGTTATGACAGCTGTTTAAAGCCATTTCCACCTATGTACATTAAAAACGAGTGCAAGGATATTGAAGCCTTGGTATATTAAAGATTCAATATATGATATTTGTATACAATGTGCATATCATTTACAATTTAATTGTTTGATATGTCACTTTCTCTGCAGAGGAGAGCCATAGAATCAGTTCCTCCTTTACCCTTGATACGCAAAGAACTTAATGAAGCTGGTGCATATGAAAATTATGGTGAAACAATAGAATTATTATATTGGGTATTATTACGATTAAGAGATCCACACATTAAGAGTGTGCAGAAAGAATGTGTAAGTCTGTGTATTATTATTTCTGACAAAAAAAATTTCAAAAAAAGCACACATAGTATATGACATAAGATCTTAGATAAATTCCTATGTTACAGTATGATTCCATATTGAATAAAGTGCCATTGGAAGTGCCAGTTTCAGCTCCAAATCTTATATTTCAAGTGGCAAGTGCGAAGCAATCTGCACCAGAAGAGAAATGGAAATCAAGTGCTAATGGTCATTCGACGTTTTATGCGTACCATGGCAGCCGTTTAGAAAATTTTCATTCCATCATGCATTATGGTTTACAACAAAATATGTGCAAGGTATAGTAAATACTAATATTATTAAACTAGAATAATTTTTCTTGTATAAATGTTTTTTCTCTGTTATGAAAATTATATGAAATTGGCAGGCATTTTTAAATAATGTTATTTTTTTTAGAGATCACAATTTGGCAAAGGAATATATCTTTCGAGCGAATTAGGAGTGAGTTTACCCTATAGTCCTGTGGGTTATGGATGGGGAGGCAGTCTTCTTGGAAGTGAAATAAGTTGTATAGCTCTCTGCGAGCTTATCAATCATCCTGATATAAAGAGAGGAGATTCAAGTAAGCCTACAGTATATCTGTGAATGACTGCGTATCAAACTTTAAAAGGTAAATTGTTATAATAGTATTACATTTTAGGGGATAGGGCACAAAATACATTGAGTGACTCAATTGGTGGAAGAATACCAGACAAATATTTTGTAGTAACAAATAGTGATTTAGTAAGGATACGTTATCTGCTTGTCTACACCCAAGATCTCCATACAACTAGGTAAACTGTATAAGATAATATTAGTCATAGGCTTTGTTTGATTACACAATAATTACTATAAATTTTTTATTATTTCAGTACTGCTGATAATTCAGGATTATTGGTATGGTTCAAGCAACATAAATTACTGACGTTTGTGCTCGGCTACGTCGTGCTGTTAGCTTCGGTTGGATTAACACAGAATAAACAAGTAGAGAAATATTATAGGTTATTTATCCAGAAAGCAGGATTCGAATAAAAAAAATGATAATGCAAACATTGCAATAAATTGGTTTTGAAATATGAGGAAAAAGGTTATAAGTACCATATTTTCATAAAATTAGGCTTCATGTGCCAAGATTTTTAAGTAAGACTAGAAAAGAATATTTTTTTATCTTTGTATTAAATAGACAAAATATACAGAAAAAGTGTTTTCACGATTTTTAATTTTGACATTTACAACTTTTTATATGTCGAGATATAAATATCCATTGGTGTATATATGAACAATGTTATCTTTTATATACATTCTTTTTAAATATATATGATAATTGAGTAAATATTTTATATAAATCATATAAAAATTTACATATGCATATCTATACACATACATACACACATATATACACACATATATATTACATTATTTCTTAAAAAACATTTTTTCTATAACTTTTTAATATCGTGAGAGTATAATAGGAAAGTTCTCAGTGACTAAATAATCATCTTCAAATAAAATGATGAGATTTACCTCAAATTCTGAAAAAAATATTGAATGCATAAATTTGTTGTTTGCATTTTTTAACAGAATAAAATAGATGGAAAAAAATATTCTTACCAACTTTGAAGTTGCTTGTGCTTAAAGTAGGACATGTAAATAATCTTGGAAATATCATGTAAATTGGAATAGCAAGATTTGTGCAAGCATTGCCTTCACCGATTTGTATATTTTGTATCTCTGTCGCTGTAAAATGCTGTCTCATAAATTATTGCCACAATTTTTACATGGACTAGTTATTCTTACCGTCTCTAGAGTATCCTTCTGCACATCCACAGGTTTCTACCCTTACTAATTGTAATTCTATGGACTTTATAACAGTTTCGCAGTGTTCAATTACCACCTACAAATACAAATAATAAAAATATAGTATTGCAGATAATAAAATAATATGCAAAAAAAGTTATCTATATATACTTCTCCTGTCAGAGGTTCAGACAGTTTGCAATACAAAGAGTTTAATCTTCCCGAAATGCAAAACTTTGGCACATTAGGTCTATCCTTAATATTTTGCAAAGATTCTGGCATTATTTTGAAGAACACAATTTTACTGTGTTCTTTTTCTACCTTACTATTTGGTTTATCTTCTACTATAAACTCCAGTGACTTGCTCACATCTTTTGCAAGAAAACTTCTTTTTATATCACAGCGTATCAAGTACTGTATATTTACAAAAACACCATGATATGTTTCAAAAAGAGATTTACTTCCTCTTGGCTTTAATGGTAATTCAAATGGTATTTCTGTCTTGCCACTTGGAATCTTCCCAGATGGAGCAACGTCTAATGTATATTGTACCAATTGTATTGGCTAAAACAATAATTACAATTTGTTAGGATCTGTTATAGATTTATTCTAACAGAAAAATATATCTATAAGAAATAAGAGAGAGATATAGTACAGCTTTTGCTTAGAAGCTTTAGAACTAGTACAGCTTTCACACTTATTATACAATGGCATTGCACAATTTACAAAAAACAACAAAAATGCAAAAATTGCTTTAATTCGAGATTCATAAAACAATAATTGTGCAAACAAGGAAGTCCATAGAATTTATTAAATTTATTATAAAAATATATTTGCTACTAACCTTAACTGAATTATAAAATGCTTCGAATATACCGACATTTTTTGAACTAAGCTGCAAATTCACTGAGCCTTCCATAGTGAGAAATATGCCATCGTGCTTCACGTCCGAATTGTTCTTTAACAATATCAGACCAGCAACCACTTCCTACAACATAGCCTCAATTTCAGACTTAAATATTGAGCGAAAAAAACAATACTCGTATAACGAACGACTAACCCCTTCGTAATATATTTTGCTCGCACGTTTTAATTTTATATCTATATTGATAGACATGACTTCTAATTTCTGTGACACTTGAATCAGTGACAGTCAATGACAGTCAGTGTCAGTGATGCCAGCACGAGGTCCGACTCACTGACTCGGCAATGGAGGGGATAACGCACCAAGCGTGAATCGCGTACATGTGATGCGTAGAGCGCTCTGCGCATCACATGTACGCGGTTCACGCTTGTGTGCGTTATCCCCTCCACTACCGAGCCGGTGAGCCGGGACCTCTGGCATCACTGACTTGAATTATAACTGTCAAACGAACCGGCTCACCATCTGTCAACGCATTAGAAGTTGTCAAACAAAATCAGCTGTCAACACAAGTCTCACGCAACCGAATAAACTGGTACATATTACATATGTGTTACCCACTGAGAACATTCGTCGACATTGGCTATGCAATTCAATGTCCATGTTTCTATGTTCACAGAGGGCGTATCGTTTTCAAGGATCACATAAAACCGGACTGTGAGCAGTGACGTCTCTCGTCTCTCAGGCTTCTCTTTGGTTTGAACGACCATCGCGATTTGCTGCACGCGCAGATTCTCTGACTCACCCCTCTGGCCCCGGAGGCGCCACCGAGCAAACAAATTCAAATCGAGAGAAGACGTTACTGTATGAGTCCAAGTTTTGTGTGACCTGTGTTGCTTACTTCTCGGAGGAAACGGCGATACATATTATTTTGGCATCACGAAAATAGCAGTTTCCTTTACGTGAACGTGATTGACAATGGCGACGAGAAATCGGACCGCAGTTACGGTGAGTAAATGATTTATATACGATGTGGGAAAATACTTAAATATTTCCTCTATGATGGAGGTCATTCTTTGGCGGTCATAAGAGCTAGACATCTTTAAATACCCCTCGCGTTCTTTTAAACTTGTTTGCCACGTTTCGGTGAACCATTTCCGCTTCTTTAGCATCCCAACAATGATCCTTTGATTTTCCTGAAATATAAAAGTTGCCTTATTATAAGATTTCCTCCAAATTATTTCTGGGATATTTCTTCTCTTTTCCGCGCGCCTTCGATCATCCGCGAATGAGATATATATGGAAAGTTTACGAATTAAGAATGTTAAATTCAAGCATTGATATTCTGTCGTTTTATCGAGAAATCTTCATATTTTTATAAAAATATATAAAAATATATTTTTGTAAACGATACTTATATATAAATGTGACTCAAATTCATATCATTTTTTCATAATAATTATTTTCTTTCTCACAAGTAAATGTTATTTCGCCCTTCTCTATTGAAAATGATACTTTTGCCATGTGTAGAATATCGATTAAAATAAAAATATTACATTGAATGAGAAAATATATATATATATATATATATTTCTCTACATTATAAAAATCCTTAGAATATTGTATTTTAAATTTTATCTTTAAGATTTTTCTTTTATGTTACAGATGAACCATACAAATCAAGAGAATATTAAAAATGTAAAATCTTCAATTATTGTACCAGCGAATACAAAAAGGGCGGCACTAGGTGAAATAAGTAATAAAGTTAACACATTGAGGGGTGCACAGCCCATAGATAGGACTAGCTTATTGCAAAAGGATAAGAAGAAAGTGGTAATACCAAAGCGACAAGTTGTGAAACCAAATGTATCTGAAAAGCCAGTGCAAGTTGTACAGCCAGTTATTTCTGTCATGGCTAAAGTAGATAATGTCTCCAATGCAGTTATCATACCAACAACTCCCGTTACTCAAAAGCGAAGAGGGATAAAGTCATTTTCGACAGATCTATTAAAATTTGAAGATATTGACGAACAAGATAAAGGAAATCCTGTTCTAGTTTCTATTTATACCAACGATATACACGAGTATTTAAGGACATTAGAAAGAAAGACCCCTATTATAAAAGGATTTCTATCAGGCCAGGAAGTCACTCCCAAGATGAGGAGTGTGCTGGTAGATTGGTTAATCGAAGTACATCAACAATTTCGGTTAATGCAAGAGACATTGTATCTCACGGTCGCAATTATCGATCGTTTTTTACAGGTATAACTGATATTATTAGCGTGTCACAGAAATGATGCAATACATTTATCTTTTTAATCTAAAAAAAATATTAGTATAAATGTTTTTCAGTCTTTTATGTTACATCTCGATATACACTTTATTGTTGCAGTCTTTCAAAACCATAGACAGAAAGCAATTACAGCTGGTAGGTGTGGCAGCTATGTTTATCGCTAGCAAATATGAAGAAATGTATTCGCCGGATATAAGTGACTTTGTATACATCACAGACCAGGCATATACTAAATTAGATATATTGGAAATGGAATTACTCATAGTGAGAACCCTAGATTATTCTTTCGGCCGACCATTACCGCTGCATTTTCTTCGAAGATACAGCAAAGCTGGGAAGGTATTACACATTTGCTGAAACATTTAATAAGCTTTCATTTGTATTATTATAAATTATATATCATTATAGATAGGGTATATTATAGTTCTCTATATAAATCATGTCATTTATTTTAAGGCACTTCCTATACATCATACAATGGCCAAGTATTTCCTCGAACAAAGTTTGGTCCACTATGAAATGTGTCATTATCCACCTAGTCTCATTGCTGCAGCAGCAATCTATCTAGCATTTTTGTAAGAAATAGCATGTTTCATTGCATATCTCGAAATATCAATAAATAATAAACAATAATTTTTCTTTTTCAGAATTATTGGTAATGATGAGGAAGATGAAAGCAAAGATATCTGGACAGACACTCTAGCATACTACAGCACCTACTCTAAGGACGATGTGTTACCTGCAGTGCGTGATATAGCTGCCATGATAATAAATGCAGAAACAAGCAAATATCAAGCTGTAAGAAAGAAGTACGTCCATGTGAAACATATGAAAATTAGTGTTCGGCCAGAGCTTAAGTCGCCAATTATGCTTGCCATTGCAGCAAGAAGCAATGAAACAGAATTATAATAGAACAGAATAGAATTTATATATTTGTGACATTATATGATATTGAGAGATTATTTTCAATAAGATATTTGTATGTCATATCAAATACGTAATGAATCTAATCATGAACATTATAGTTCATGAAAGCAAAAAGAGAGAGAGAGAGAGAGAAAAAGTGAGACCGCATCCTTCAAAAGATAAAGCGAACTTTATCATAAAGTGATGAATATTGTATGAATTATTGTATTTGATGCACAAATTTTTCTTATTGAATTTATTCTCGTTCAGTCACAAAGTAGCGAAAAACAGGACGTATTTAGAGATTTATATACAAAAGTTTGTTAAGATTAGCACGAAAATTTAGTCAGGTATCACTGATGGACTTTATTTTGGACTGCCATAGTTAAACTAGGTATAGCAGAAATCATAAAAATGCATCTTTTATAATGAAATATTAAATAAAGCTTTTAGTTTTTATTCATAGCTGATTATAAAAATATTTTAATTTTGATATACGTCCTACACATACACACACATACAGATACTTTTAATGTCACCATATAGAAATATGTAAGTATTCCAAGATATATATATATATACTTCATTTTTTATGCTTTTATATTAATATTTTTCTCAATTATAGTCTTTCTTAATTATTATGGAAACCATTTAAGTTTTTTGCTTGCTACTTTGAAATATAAATTGCATAAAAGTTATGTGCAAAAATCGGATATAAGAATTTTTGGAGATTATTTATGAAATTTTTATCAATATGGTGATATAAAGTTTATACTTTAATTATATACGTTATATTACTATATATCCTCTATAATATGTATATAAAATAATTATTGTATAAGCATATTTGCCTGAAGAAAGATAAAATTTTATATCGTTAGTTAAGTAATCCAAATTTTAACAATTCCAAATTAAAGATGAATGTTTAATATATACATGACAAAATTTCAAAATTAAATACCTAAATGGCCGCTATATATATTTAGGCTTTATTAGTTACAAATTATAATATCATAATGATATGTTACTATAACTATACACATATCTTTGTAAATAAATAACTAAATTAATATAATTTTTCTGCATTAATTAATTCGAAGGGCCTTAATTTCTTTTATTATGCAGTAATACATAAAACCGCCTTTACATTTATGTACTTAATTTATAACATATTTCTCATAAGATCTGTTGAGAATAGGAGAGTGTTTAAACTTATTTTTGAAAAATTTTTAAAAAATACTTAGAACACAGGATGTTGTATCAGTTTCAGGTGGATGCGTTATATATCGTTCTGAAAAACAAAAATTTAAAAGAAAGACATAAAAAACAGAAGGAATGTAACAAATATTCTAATACTGTATTGCACGAACACTTACCTACTAATTTAATAGGTGCAGTAATTTCTTGAATTTGTGCAGGTGTATAAATTGTCATTTTTTCCTGTTAATAAGAGTTAAAAGATGTAGAGCACTATTTTCGTAAATCGCTGAGGAATATTTCTAATAATTACTCACCACATCTGTTGAGAATAGGAGAGTGTTTAAACTTATTTTTGAAAAATTTTTAAAAAATACTTAGAACACAGGATGTTGTATCAGTTTCAGGTGGATGCGTTATATATCGTTCTGAAAAACAAAAATTTAAAAGAAAGACATAAAAAACAGAAGGAATGTAACAAATATTCTAATACTGTATTGCACGAACACTTACCTACTAATTTAATAGGTGCAGTAATTTCTTGAATTTGTGCAGGTGTATAAATTGTCATTTTTTCCTGTTAACAAGTTAAAAGATGTAGAGCACTATTTTCGTAAATCGCTGAGGAATATTTCTAATAATTACTCACCACCTCGGCTAAACTCGTCGGGGCTGATTTGTCCCAAATTTCTGATTTACTATTTTCTACCAATTCGAAGAAATTATTTATTTCGATATAGAGTTTTTCCGCGCATTCATCGAATTCGAAGCGTATCAACGCCTGAACAAGTCGAAACCATTCATCTGTAAATGAAAAATATGTCATTAACATATTCAGCGTTTATCCAATCATATGTTCTAACAATGTAATGTCATTCATTATATATTGTTTCTATAAACAAACCTCTATTTTTATACACAGTAGTAATAATCTGGTAAAGGACATGTATTAAGCCTAAATCTTCAAACGTACTGCCCTCCTTTAAACTTAAAAGTTTCCTCTCTTGCTTCCTACGATTTTTACTTGATCGATAGCTTCTCCTAAAAAAAAAAAAAAAAGAGAAAGGAACATTTATAAATGTCTTATTTTATTAAATTATAAAACGCTTATAAAAAGAGATATACCTGGAAGCTGTAGATGTTCGCGATTTTTTACTTGAAACAGAATCCGCGATGCTACTTGTTTCGCTAAGGGAGTCCATAATTTCTTTGCCGAATACCGGTTCGTCATGACAGATCGATTCGTTAAACGGCCGCGTTTGTCTTGCGCTTATCTCTGCTCTTACTAATGCAAGGCGTGACTTATGCCTGAGAAAATCTTCCTTAAATTTACTCAATTGCAACATTACATGTTCTGCATGTTCTGTTACTCCAGGTTTAATATGTGTCTCTGTAAAAATAATAAACGATTCAGGTATATGTATGTCATAATGTATTTAAATTTTCAGTTTGCTTGCTCTTATTAATCACTAACCACACAGATCTAGACGTTGAACATCGTGTGTTATTCTTATGGCACGTTTCCAAATTCTTCCCTCACACAATAATGCAACAGCTTCTTCAGCGTCGTTTAGATAATCTTTTAGTATTGTAGCTGCATCCTCGTAATTTCGCTCTGCTCTTAAACGTTTTACCAGCAGTTCATAAAGTTCGTGTAAATCTGTAGAACTAAAGAAACGGTTTAATTCTCACATAGTATAAAACAGCACATTATAATTGTATCAATTCTAATAATGATAAAGTAAAATATATGTGTATATAAAAATAAAAAGTTACATCTTTACCTTAATTTCATTTCTCTCGATACCGCGATTGCATCCTGCCAATTTTCACTTAATGTGCTAAACGCTTTTAAAGCTCTATCGAGATCGCCACTTCTATAAAACATTATACCGGCTTCTTGATATTTTGTTTTGCTTAATAAAAATTCTCCATAAGCTCGAGCAATCTTTTTATACTGCGTACTATCTTTCTTAAATAATTTCATTGCCCTTGAATATAATTTCTGATTATGTATTAAATTAAAACATTCTTCAAATTTAGTCGAGTCTCTGGATATATGTTCGAGCGCCGATTGATAACGTTTAAGATGCATATCAATGGAATACTTCATGTAATCTTCATTTAGTTTTTTCAAACTATTTAAGAATGGAATATATTCCTTGGGATCTTTTGACGATTTAGAGGCTACAAACATTGTCAGTTCGAAATCATACATGCCTAATGCGGTATCATATAAAATATCGATGTTGACAAAATGTAGCAAATATTTCAGCGCATCTTCGGCAGATGTGGGAGAAGGAGATTGCGTTGACTTTTGTAAATCCTCCAGTATCTTGACTTGTTTTACTTTACTAAGTGCTTTTTCTAAACCTTGCTTTTCATGATTTTTCACTAAGCTCACCAATATCGGTTGTGTCAGGTTAGCCGCGTTATGTCGTCTTTCCATAATATCTCTCAATAATTTACAAATCTCATTTACCTTGTTAATTTTGATTTCGTTATTTCCCGTTATCGCGACCGAGCGTACAGAACGGTTCGGATAACAATTCGCGTACATCGTGCTAGTGACGTCTTCATTTTGCAACTCTGAAAGAAATAAACTTAACCAATCTGGTTTCGCGATTTCTTCTACAAACTTTTCTGCGTTATCCATAAATAGTTTCGGATCGTGATCGTATATTAGATTCAAATTTATACGTTGTTTCTTCATTATGTCAAACGCTATCCGATAACTACAGTTATCGAGATGAGATTTTAATATATGCAACGATAATGCCCTTGGTTCTATACATTCTAAATTTCCTCTAGGCATCTGCAAAATTGTCTTAGAGTCTTGAGATATCGCTGATATTATATAAGAATCTTTCTCCAGTCGTCTGATATAAATATCTGTAATGGAATTAAAAAGTTAGAGAAAGGAATATAATAATATATATTCATGAAATAAAATGGATTACAAAGTTATGAAGATTTACTTGTAAATGATATCTCGTTATTGCCATTTTCCCAAGGTCTGACAGTTAAATCGTGTTTTCTTAGCTGCTCCATACCGCTCTCGTTTAATGGAACACAAATCAACGTATGTTGCTGTGTTGTAAGAAGCAAAAAATCGGAATGTACATAGAAACTCGTAATGTTCTTAGCGATTTCCTTTCCATCAATTGAGAAACAATTTGTGCAAGACAAAGCAATGATAACGTCTTTTGAATCAATTTTTATAACTTCCACTTGATAGCATAGCTCTCTTAAGAGTATATCTGTCGGATCAAGTTCTTCTGCATCTTTGGTATATTTGAATATAGCCCGATTTACTATTATGTAAGCCGTATTTGCATCGAGAGAAGGAAGTATATATTCTATCGAATTATCTACAGCATAAAATTTCCTATAGGAAAAAATTTAAGTTCGTGTATCTTTTCATTAGATGCGATTTTATGTGTATATTTATGTGTATATTTAAGTTCGTGTATCTTTTCATTAGATGCGATTTTTATGTGTATAATATAATTCATAACAAAACTAAAAACTACATACCGTATCGGCAAAATACTGTTTTTTATAGAATGTATTTTGTCTAGAGACAAAACACACAAGAGATTATGTTCATCCATAGTTATAGAAAACAACATAATATCTTCTGCAAGCCATAAGAAATGATGCATAGTATAAATACATTTATCAATTCCTGTTATGTCTAAAATTGAACAATCAATATTGTATGACTGTAAAGCTTCGTATTCTGATGAAGAATCCTACAAAATGTAATAAATTATATATTGCAATAAATAAATTCTACATATATTAGTTTATATTACTATTTCGGTACAGTGATTACCGTTATTTGCTTGAAAAACGTCAAACTGTTATCGCACGATATGGTGCAGAACATATTACTGTTTATCAAAGTTGTTTTATCATTGATATTTGGTGCAAAGGCAATAGCATTAACTGGTTCTTGAATCTGTAAAGATTGATGGGACATTGGCGGTGGAACGATTCCGTTTCTAAAACCAGTAACTAGCGTTTTGTTTCCATCAATAACGGCAATCACGGTATTGTCGTCTATAGTTTTGCCTCGACTATGATTCACGCACCAATTAAAAGAACAAAACATAAGTTCATTTGATGTTAGAAGAATCAATTCTTTTTGATCATATCTTCCTGTAGTGCTCCATGTTGCGTATATCAGTGGATTGTCTGTAGAAAAAACAATGGTTTGTTTGAGATACCAGTGACAATTATTCTCTGTCCATAATTGCAGTATTGTATTGAACATTCCCGACTGTTCGCAAATGACAGCTAAGACGTCTGAATTTGGTGACCAAAGTAAATCTTTCACCTGCAAAATACCTATTTAGAAAAATTTGCAATTACACAAGGCAATCTGAAGAGAGAAATTATATCTTTCAATATTAAATGTACCGTTACTTCTTTCGGTGCAAATGGAAGTGGAAAATCTGTATATTTGAGGCCATTTTTTTCAAAGAGTGCAACCACATGTTTATTGGCCAATCTTTGGGTTGTGGCAATTAAATTTCCCAATGGCCGCCAAGCCAAACATTCTTCTAATCCGTTAGTTGGTTCACTAGTATAGCATAAAGTACCCTCTCGATCGAATACTTTAAACTGTCGAATTTTCGTTAAAATATGCAGAAAACTGACAGCAAATAGAGCACCATCCCCACGCCAAGTGATTCGAGGACGACCATCGTCGAGTTCATTTGCATTCAGTTCCTCTGGTTTAGCTTTAGCTGCTGTTTTCCCTGCCGAACCATGAAACTGAGTCTCTTTTTTGCCCCAACCAACAGTAACAAATTGTTTCTCTCCAAAATCTTCCGAGTATAAATCCACCTATAATATTATATATACAGATATGTTATAATTTTATAATTACAAAATTATATCAGTTATATAAGTTATAATTGTATATATATATATAAAATAAAATTTATTTTTGTGAAGATATATAATACATTACCTCTGATATTACTTGAAAATCAGACACCATAGTGATCACAGTTCCTGTACATGTTACAGCCGTAATGAGCTCATTATCTGGACTAAGTTTCATACACTTTAGGCCATTACTAAATGTAGTTATCTCTTGTCTAAAATTGGTTTGATCTAATATATCCAATCTGGCGATAGCACCACATTCATACGCGCAATACAACTCCTGCATTGTAACGCAATACTCAAATCCAACAACCTTGGAGTTTTCATATCCGTCAAAATTTATATTGGTAATATCACTGTTATCCTCAATTGGTATTATATAGATCCGATTGTCAAATAGAATGTACACACTGAGATCATTTGGATCGATCGCACAATGTACACTTTGCAAAGGTTCATTATCGTTTTTTACAACGATTTCTTTCATAAATTCGATATTCCGGCGTCGTAGCTGATAAACCGCTAAATTCTTCATGACTTTCGACGGTGTCCCACGTGCACTTATTTATGTTATAATCTTGAATCTAAAAAAGATATCTATATATTTTTTATCTGTATATTTTAACGATAAAATTCAACATGTAAAAATTATAGAAAAATATGAAAGATATTATGCGAGAGATACAAAATACATCTCAATATAGAATATATTTTATATACACACGTGTGTGAAACTAACCTTATTAGTCATTCACCATAAGAATTACAAATATGCAAAGAATCCATAAGATCTAAGATCTATGGAAGAATCCGATCCGAAACAAAGACCGCGTTCGGCAGAGAAAGCGCTCAGTTATTGTCTTGTCAACACTCGACGTTGATTTGTTGGTTCTAAAAGTAAGAGCCAATCACGTTCGATTGCTACTGAGCGGTTTTCTCTGCTGAACGCGCCCAAAGACAAGGCGAATCTACAACTCAACGACCTGAGCGAACACGCCAATACTTCGCGTTCAATCCGCTACGCGGCGCGTAAGCGGTATCACAGTTGTCCCATCTCATCGACGTGCAATCTAGTATCTCGTGACTTCACGGTTCTCGGTGGTGTCGGCGACGACGATCTCCGGACGATCGACGAATAAAAAAAAAAAAAAAATAACAAGCGATAAGCAGTGACCGTCACGGTTCTGTGCGCCTCGAGATCACACTTGATTCGCGCGCGAGTGGTAAGTCCGAGTGATCGACTGACTGATTGACTGACAGAACTGATTGACAGACGAACGGACGGACGGACGGACGGGCGATCAGCAGCGCCATCAGCAGCGCTATAAGATGAAGCGGCTGTGAAGTGTGAAGGGGCTAGCGCGACCAGGCAACTGACCAACCACCGTAGCCGCGCGATACACGTTCACGCCGCGGGTGGAAATTAAATTAGCGCTCTCCTACGATCGAGTTGTACACCGCGGGTAACGCATCCCGTGGATCCCACCGGCCGGTTTCTCCTCCGAGAGGTCGGCTGCGAGGCCGACGACAGTCGACGACGGCGGCGGTGGCGGCTGGCTATTGCAAACGCTAGTATAACGCGGTGGCGTTACCGTTGGAAAATCGACGTCGACGAGGAGGACGTCCCCGAGGTTTCGGGAAGAACGGCGAGAAGGGGCTGCAGGGGAAAACTGCCGGACGACTCGCGCGAGAGAAAACGCGACTGCGGATTTACAGAGAGATCCGTACGTATCGCAGACGTGTCGATCCGTACGGTGCTAATGGTGCATCTTAGATCGCCGATAACAACGACCCGGAGAGAGCCCATCCTTCCTTCTACCCCCAACCCTTCCCCCCTCCTAGATAGTTCCGCGACTCCCTTTGTTTATGCGGATATCGCGGGTCTACGTGCGCGTTCTGCTTTCGAGAGAGAAAAAAAATATTGCCAGCCAAAGATCCTATTCTATTCTTCTGTTCATTTCGAATTTATCGCCCGCGAAAGGAATCCCCTAGGCCTTTTCAAGACTTCCGTCCATCAACGAATCCATCTGCTGAGGTCCCGACATTTGGACCCGCACGCATACACACGCATATCTACTCACGCGTGAAACTGCGCGCTCGCGCGCGCGCCTACCGTACACGCACACATGCGCGCGCACAACGCGTGTTCTATACGTGTGTATGTAGTACGTGCTCCTCTCGGTGCGGCAAGCTGTCATCGACGCTGTCAATTCTCAGCCGATCGCCGTTCGTCCCGACGAACGAGTGTTTGAAAAAGAGATTATTGATCTCCGTCTCTCTACGATATATGCCAAGATATCCGAATATCCGGTTTGTAGATCGCAGTGCGAAATGACCGCACGGCGCGGCCGTGCAACATTGTGTTCCAAGATATCCGAATATCCGGTTTGTAGATCGCAGTGCGAAATGACCGCACGGCGCGGCAGTGCAACATTGTGTTTTGTGTAGAAAGGGTGGGAGAGACGGAGGGAGAGAGAGAGAGATAGAGAGAGAAAATTTTCGATGTGGTATGCGAGAGATGCTGTCGACGTTGCTCGATTTTTTACGTCAACAAGTCTTCTCATTTGTAGTTTAGCACGAGGTGGTTCTGTAACAAGAAAAGAAAGGTTGCATCTGTTAATATGGTTATTCTTTTTTGGAACTCCTAACACAAATATTTCATTAAAGTTTTAAAAGATACAGATAATGTAAAATTAATTCATTGTTACTATTGTCCATGGATCGAAATTTTTATTGTAAATTTTACCAGAGGGAGAAACATGCTTGGAGTTACTACATGAATTGTTAAAACATTGATAATAGAAAAAGTTTACAAAAAAAGATAGCAGAGTGTACTGTTTCATTGTTTTGATAAAAATTTTCTAAACTCAAAAGAGATGATGGAGAAGCTAAAGAATTTTCATAAAACTTCAGGAGTAAAAAGGATGGCAAAGCGCAAGTTTTACAGTTGTGATTTCAGACAAACTTTTCTTCACAAGATTTTAATTCCAAATTTTTTCTTTTACCAAAACATTTTGTGTATTTTGCATATCTTGTGCTTGTATAAAGTTAACCTTTAATAAATTTGCATATTTTCTTCCCCTTTCAGATCTTTGCATAAACAATGGCAGCGTTACCACGGAGGATTATTAAAGAAACTCAAAGATTAATGCAAGAACCAGTTCCTGGTATCAGTGCTGTACCAGATGATACAAATGCTAGGTATTTTCATGTAATAGTAACGGGACCTGAGGATTCGCCGTTCGAAGGCGGACTGTTTAAGCTTGAATTGTTCCTACCTGAAGATTATCCAATGTCTGCACCTAAAGTTAGATTCATTACAAAAATATATCATCCAAATATAGACAGGTAAAGAGAAAAAATTATAATGTATTTACTTCAATTATCATAGATGTACAAATTTGTCATTATTGAGTAATTTCTGACTATAATTTTATTTGCTATGCTTTACATGAACTACAAGAACAAACAAGGTGTCTTTGATAAATATAAATTTGTCTTTTTAATGATAGGCTACACAAGTAGTTGAAATTGCTTATGTATATTTATGTATAAAACGCATTGAGATAAAAGTGACAAAGACAAATAGTTTGTTTTCTCAAAATATCCTGTTTAAGAAATACAATTATTTCACTTTACCTGCAGATTGGGCAGGATTTGTCTGGATATTCTCAAGGACAAGTGGAGTCCGGCACTTCAAATCAGAACAGTTTTGCTGTCTATACAAGCGCTTCTAAGCGCGCCGAATCCCGATGATCCTTTGGCAAATGATGTAGCTGAACTTTGGAAGGTCAACGAAAGCGAGGCGATACGTAATGCCAAAGAATGGACTCGAAGATACGCTATGGACAACTGATCTCAGCCTTGTCAGATCGCCCACGACAAAGCAAAGCGACGTTATTCCTACCTTTCCCAGACTTTTGATCACCATACCCGCACCAATTGCGTATCCGGCACCTGTGTCCACAATTTTGCTATAAAAATAATAAAAGTTTTGTAAGAGTAAAACAGAATGGATATTTTCTATATTATGGGGGAAACGCGAAGCACTGTTGAATTTATTCAATTGCTCATTGAGGAATATCTTCGTAAATATCTTCCTACATTGAAATGTTACGAATCTCTCTTTCTGCAAGAAAGGAGGGGACAAGTTTCCCTTTGTGAGAAGACGCGATGAGATATGTTACAATATACATATAAATTTGAAATTGTATTAAGCAAAAATATGCTATATACAAATCTTATATTGCTATTTTGTGCAATTTGCAATTTACACTTTTTTTTTCTTCCTGGTGTATGTTATTTAAAAGTGGAATTGAAAGGTTTATGTTATTCAACATATGGATTCTCTTCTTAAAACAAATTTTTATTGTATATATTAACTGGTTATATATGTATATTTTTCTCTCTTTCTCTCTCTCTGTCTAGTACATTATAGATTTAAATATTATTGCATATTTAGAATAGAGAGAGAGAATGGCACAAGATTGATGAATATAAAATTATACGTGTAATGTAGCTATTATTTATCACATGTCTTATAGATAATATATTAAAGAAACTACGAACGTTTTTTCAATCTATATAATTCAATCTATATAAACTTGAACATTTAATTATCTTATTTGGAGATGTATATAGAATACTATGAAACTTTTAGGTTTTCAAAATATATAATAAGAAAAAATATATTCCAATATTTTTGGTTTTTACTCAAGTTTGGCTATATAAGTGAATAGAAATCATCCATTATTATGTTAATACTAATTGCCAATTATAATTGTTTAATGTGTAAATATAAGTAAGAAGAGTAGAAAAAGTCTATTGTGTATCTTACAATAAATAAATTCTACTTATCGAGATGCGACTATACGTAATATAAAATTTCTGCATAGGAAAAAATAAGATTTCTCACATATAAAATTATTTTATGAAGAATGCTTACATGAATCACAGTGTAAAATACATAGGAAAAAATATAACACAAGTACTTTCCATTTAACGAGTAAAATTAGCAATTGTACCGAGAATATGTGCAAAAAATATCTAAATTGATATATATTGCATATTATAATTAAATAAATAAATAGTGAAAAAAATAGAAACATACAATATCTGTAACAAAACAATGTGTGGCAAAGAAATAATACATATATTGATAGAAATCTATATTTAATATACCCTTGTCACATAATGTGAATGCATTGGCTCAATAAAATATGATAAAAATAATATCAGTTTATATCTAATATACGCGTTATATTGCGAAAAATTGAAAAGAAATATATAACCAGTTAATATATAAATATCTTATGAAAAAGGAAAACTATACCCGAGTATCGCCTTTTTTTCTAACAAGTATTACAACAGGGAGATTCTATAATTTAAGGACACGGGGATAGATTAAAACAATTGTAGATAATCTGCAATAATAAAGAGATTATTATTAAGAGTTTGGGATATATAGAGTAGTTATTGTATGCATTATTACATGTGTATCAATTAGACATGCAGAATTTTTCAAAAGCTAATATGGCATAATTATAATATGCATAAAATAATCAAGATTCAAGAAAGAGAAATTTTAATGTAATGTACGTTCAATTTCTAATGTACATTTCATTATTATATCCATCATCAATTAACTATATCTTTATCTCATGAACACATCTTCGCGTACTCTTTATTCGTTTAGTTACATCATTGCTTTACGGAAATATTTTAATATACATTGCCATTGATTAAAAATAAAATTTTATTTTGGATAAGCCTCTACGTTGCTGAGTTAGTAACCGAAAAACTGATAATAAAATATTAACGAAAAGAATAATTAAAATTGATTTCTTTCATAAAAATATCCGTAGGCTTAAGTGATATAATACACATTTCATACTTTTGTTGTAAAAAAAGTATATCAGTAAGAATCTTGATACACTTTTGATAAGAATATCAATATTAACTAAGTACTATAAAACGATAAAAAAAGCTCATTAGAACATTTTATAAGAGAAAGAATAACTTTTATCGGGGGGTACTTCTTTTTTTCATGATATTAATAGTTTAGATTAATTTTAGACCGCTTTTATGAACGCTTCATAATGTATATATATCTCATTGTTTCATATGTCGTGCGGATCAATATTTTGAAGAAATAAAATCTTTAAAAAGATAAAAAAACAGAGGAAATGCTATATCGTTTTCATTGACATATCATATTAAGCGAGAAATCCGAGATATAAATATATACATAACTACCTTTAAACTTGAATTCAAAATTACATTTTATTGTATCTTAGTATGGACTAGCATATACCATATACACATTCAATAGCTCACTTATAATTTATAACTTATTATACACTCACAAACATTGATAAAGACAGTCATGATATCTTGTAGCATTTTTCATGACTGGTGAAGCTACAGCGCAAGCTCTATATTTATAATACATGTGTGTAAGATATAATTATTTGTTACGAGAAAATGGCTTGGTTTCAATTATCTCATAACGATTCTGACTGGCAAATTTGTATCTGTCATTCGTACTGACTCTGCACGATCATTATTTATTATTTTATAAGGCTTAATGATATATATAAAACACACATGCTTTGTTGTCAACAAATATATACCATAAATCAGGCATTATTCGCCATGCCTTCGTTAAAGAACCAGCGTGATCGTACAAATATCGTACAATGCTTGGAAATAATCGCACGACGAAATTTTCTTATTTAACAACTGTATATGCTTATTTAAATTTAAAGAGAGAACAAGAGTTTACTATACATCTTCTCTCCTTACATTCGTTCATACATAATTCACCAATAACCGTAGAAAAGCTAGAAAAGAAAAAGATTGTAAGGAAAAAATTCAGATGAATAGAGAATATCAAATAATATTAAACAAGCCTAATACAACTTTATGCTTAATAAATACTTCGACATAAGCCACACTTTAATAATTTGCATATCCTTAAAGTATCAAAATAAGAGATACTTAACATTTAGAACAACGAAAAAACTATTATAATTTAATAATACATTTCATTTCTAAAAACAGACAAGTAATGAGCATGCATGGCCAGATTGACAGCATATAAGTTGTAGATATTATTAAAATGTGGCTAGACACATTCACGCAATCAGGGTGGCTTGTGATGGCTGAGTATTAACTTATTATGAGATCTCTGAAGATATATTAGTATAATCGAAGAGATCTGACTTAAAAATTTAGATAATACAAATAACTCATCTGTTATATATATTAAGTGAAAAAATGTCCATAACATGGTCTTAATCTTGCAAAAAATTAAACACTTTTTATTTATTAGAAAATTAGTGTTTTCCGTTGTGTTTAGACAAGTATGGCTTTTTTTTATAATACACATATTATGACACTATGTGAACACATAAATTCTATGACTTATATAGCGTGTTTAATAATGAAGAATTCAGAACTCAGAGAATATAAAGCACTCATTAAGCTAACGAAAATATGTCTAATCAATATATGAATCGAAAAATTACTATCGAAACTGAAAGTTATTTCTTTCTTCAGAAGACGCAAACAATTTTCAGTTTTGATATAAAGTTATAATACAGTTTGTAATACAAATGATCTACTTGCCCCAAAAAGTCAATTTTTTTATTTATGTTAAAAAATTAGATATTTTTTTTACAAATAAGTGCGCGTTCGTTTTGAACTACCAAGTCCTGAACTCTATTCTTCAAACACTTTATGTATCTGAATGATATCAGAAGTGAAGACAACACACAAGCTTGATTTCCTTGCAAATCAGAACATGCCATTTTCAAGTAGTCGCACACACACATTCACAGACAAAATCTGAATAATTTTTATCAAAAATTATGCATACTTTGCTGTTCCGTTTCGCTTTACTACTTAATGTACTTTGGCATTGAAATTTTATCAGACATCAGGAATCTCAAAATTTGTATCATTGCACACTTCTTGATATTTGAAGCAGAATAGTTCAAAGGTGAGAAATCTTCAGTAAAAATAGATAAAACTTAGATTATTGTGGCATATAGTATTTATATAGAAGAGCGTTTTCTTTCTTTTTTTTTGTTTCTAGTAGTATGACTCTGGTGAGAGTTGCGTTGCTTTGGAATGGATGAGATTGCATTATTGGGTTATACATAGAAGTCATTAGTCTGTATATTTTAGAAGAAATTTTCCATTGACGAAGTCAGCTAGAGCTAGAATTCATTTTGTATGCCTATGCAATGAGAGAAGCCTATTAAATTGAGTATAATTTACATATTTTACATATAAGTATTATACTTGTTGAAGTGAAGACTTGCTGCAAGCTTATATGAATAAGATGCACGTCTATATATATGTATATATAAGCCTTTTTTAAAATTATTACTATAACTATTTTTATGAATTGAGCCTTTGCAGATTACTGCGAAAAATAAGTGAATTGAAAGAAATTTTATTTTGCAAAATTGAATTACATTAATGATAATCGAAAGTTTATTAATGGTAATGTGTTTCTTAATTGTATCATTAGTTCATTTCATCAATTTTTCACAAAAATCTGCAAAATATGATTACTTGGAATTACCATTTCACAGATTGAAACGCGCATCACGCTAACGTGAGGGAATTTAAAAAAAACATTAAGATATCTGATAGGATATAAGAAAAAAATTGTTGTAATCATTCATTTAAATAGCTTATATTCTGAATGTTAAGTTAAAAATTCAGCAAACTTTAAATCATAAATTTAATGAAGACATTGAGTTTTCATCAAAGCGAGTCAGATTAATGTACAAGTATGTCTAAAATATCAAAAGAGACATAGGTAGAAAGAGAGAGAGAGAGAGAGAGGAAAAGAAAATGCAAGATTCAAAAGTTTAGAAATCCCTATCCTAAAGTATCTAAATGGAATGAAATCTTAAAATCTAGATATAGTTCAAAGGTGAGAAATCTTCAGTAAAAATAGATAAAACTTAGATTATTGTGGCATATAGTATTTATATAGAAGAGCGTTTTCTTTCTTTTTTTTTGTTTCTAGTAGTATGACTCTGGTGAGAGTTGCGTTGCTTTGGAATGGATGAGATTGCATTATTGGGTTATACATAGAAGTCATTAGTCTGTATATTTTAGAAGAAATTTTCCATTGACGAAGTCAGCTAGAGCTAGAATTCATTTTGTATGCCTATGCAATGAGAGAAGCCTATTAAATTGAGTATAATTTACATATTTTACATATAAGTATTATACTTGTTGAAGTGAAGACTTGCTGCAAGCTTATATGAATAAGATGCACGTCTATATATATGTATATATAAGCCTTTTTTAAAATTATTACTATAACTATTTTTATGAATTGAGCCTTTGCAGATTACTGCGAAAAATAAGTGAATTGAAAGAAATTTTATTTTGCAAAATTGAATTACATTAATGATAATCGAAAGTTTATTAATGGTAATGTGTTTCTTAATTGTATCATTAGTTCATTTCATCAATTTTTCACAAAAATCTGCAAAATATGATTACTTGGAATTACCATTTCACAGATTGAAACGCGCATCACGCTAACGTGAGGGAATTTAAAAAAAACATTAAGATATCTGATAGGATATAAGAAAAAAATTGTTGTAATCATTCATTTAAATAGCTTATATTCTGAATGTTAAGTTAAAAATTCAGCAAACTTTAAATCATAAATTTAATGAAGACATTGAGTTTTCATCAAAGCGAGTCAGATTAATGTACAAGTATGTCTAAAATATCAAAAGAGATATAGGTAGAAAGAGAGAGAGAGAGAGAGAGAGGAAAAGAAAATGCAAGATTCAAAAGTTTAGAAATCCCTATCCTAAAGTATCTAAATGGAATGAAATCTTATATCTATAAAATCTAGATTCTTAAATACACAGCCATTTCTCCATATTTATCAATGTATGCTCGAAGAAGCGAATGATCAATGCAACTTACTAGGGACAATATAATTTTTTACAAGCTTGTAGCTTACTACATTCGTGAAAAATAAAACGACTCATGTACTTTTCCTAAAAAATGTGTAGTATAACGTAACTATACGTTTATTAAGGAATTGTACACTTACAGCAATATTCGAAACAAATAATTTTTTTTCTTTTTTTTTTTAATTTGTCCAATTTTTTGTGAACGGTAATCAGTAGCAGGATTCTCTAATATCTTAGCAATGATTATCAGTGTCGTTAGCGAGCAATAGCCTATGAGAGTTGCACTTTTCACCACGATTGCTTTTGCCATTGGCTGACGCTAGTTAACGATACCGAAAATTCTTGATAGCAAGTAACTGAATCCCGCTACAGTTGAGGATTATTATACAAATCGAAGAATTTTCAAATGTCGAAAAATAATATCACGCAGTGAGTGTGCTACACATTATAGTTTCATTGTCGATACGGCTGAGCATTATAGAATAGCGTCAATCAAGTAGTACATAGGCATACAAGATCTACTTAATAAATAATCTTTTTCTCTTTTTCGATATACGCATGAATCACTTGCAAAAAGTCATCTTGATATATTGTAAAACGAATTACTCGTTAAAAAAAAGATCCTTGTTTACTGCCCTCTTCTTTATAATTACTATATCGTTATTTATCACGAGATTTACGCATCCCAAGTTTACTACAATAGATAGTAATTTTAGTACAAATTAAGATTGCTGGGCACCAAGCCGCAAGTATTCGCCGGCCTTTTAAAGATAAAAAAGATTAAATAAAACGCTTCAGCTCTTAAAGTATCTCCCACACGAGAGATAGAGAGGGAGATTCTTTTTATAAATATTACTATGTCATTAAACTACATAATATACAGTTCCAGCCCTGCTCCAGCTGTTGGTAAAGAGCTTTGTGCTATTTATAATCATGTGCAACTGCATTGTTTGCATCACCTATCATCTTCCTTGGCGCTAATAATGCGATTCTCTGTAACACAGAGTATGTTATATACTAAAAATTTAAAAGAAAAATATTTTTCTATCGCTTTACTCATTCGTGAACAAGTCAAAATTATGACAATTTTGTCGCAGTTTTTATATATATTATTCAGAATAATATGTAATAAACGCCGATATTATGTATATAAGAAATATTGAGAAAGATATCTCTCGCTCTAAATCTCAGGAAAACATATTTATGTTATAGAGAATCTCATTAAATAGTATTATATGTATATATATATATATATCTCTTATGATAATCATATAAATTATGCTTGAGTAAATATTTAATAACATTTCTGCGACGTACCTATGTAATCTTGTTTACTAAGCAGGAGCTGGTGAATGTATCGAATTGTCCCAATAAGAATCGAAACACAAAGCATAGACTTGCGTAGAATAATCTGTACAGTAAAGGTAGTAGAGCGGATAGTGTACGGTAGTGGATGGCGGATGTATTGTCTGTTCACTACGCATCAGCCGGGCAACTGAACGCTTTTATATGTACACCGGTGACTCCTGGCCGGTTAATAGTCTAAACATCGACGTGGGCATCGTTTTCATCAAAATCTAGAAAAGAACAAAATATTTCGATTCGTGATAATTCTTCTTTTATCAAACAAGAAGCATACAACATACAGCCATCTTACGTACCTCTCCCACTGATGTAGCCAGAAGATTAACAATCTTTTCATGCGGTACAGCGACAACGCTCTGATTATTGATCTCAATTATCCTATGACCAACCCGAACTCCACCCCTTTCGGCGATACCGCCTCTCAATAGACTACATATCACTCCGTTCTGTACACTAAATCCTAACTGATACTTGGTGTCAGGTCTCTTGATTTTCACTTCGACGACCGGTGCACACGGGACGACAGTCAGCTTGACGACCGTCTGATTCTTCGAGTTCTTTATATAAGTCTGACACGTGGACAAAGGCAAGCCGACCAATGATACACCGTTAATCGCTATTATCTGATCGCCAATATTAAGCTGTCCGCAACGAGCAGCGGCACCAGCCGGCGCCAGATTTGCTATAACTACGGTTGGCAGCATCGAGCCCCATCCCGATTCAACGATTACAACACCGAGGATCTCTCCCTTTGCTTTCGGTACCACTACCTGGAAGCAGAAAATATAATATTGATTTCGCCATAATTATAAAGTTTTAATTATTAATTTCAGACGAGTTGGGATAAAATAATCCAAATGCATCCTCGATTTTAAATCATTACAAAATGTAAATTTCCTAATTGAGTTAATAAAAAGAGTGAAAGAATTTGAAAAGTACCTCTTTCTGCATTTCTTTCTTTGCAAACATCTGCAACTCGTCACCGAATATCTCTTGCGAATTGAGCACTTCTTGGTAATCCATTTCCTTAACAAAACTATGGTCTTCTATCCCATTCGCCTTTAGGAACTCCATATAAGCTACTTGGAACGCTTGTCCGATACTTTGTGCTATAAATTGAGCTTCCTCACTTTCGAAAACGTGACAGATCATCTTCGGAGTACGATTAATTTTCGGTACTTCCTCCATTTCGTGCGGCACAAAGCGTCGTCGCGCCATTAACACCACTAGATCACCGATATCCGCGATGTACGAAATAGTGCGCAACGCGTGATCCATCATGATCTCTTTCAAATCGGTGTTGAGAACCATAATTTTTTCCGTCGATATGAAGAGATCTACTTCCGTACTTGGCTGAGTATCACCGTCCGGTGCCTGAAAATAATATCACAGAGTTATTTGTAAAAATATCTTAAATTAATCATGTCTATATATATCACATATACATTTTCATCCGCGAGAATATACGTACCAATGCCTATCGAAAGGAAGCAGCATGTGTAACAGAGTAGAAAGTAATTAATTATAAATTATGTGTTCGAGTATGATATATTATATATGACAGATTATAAACACATACGCAGCGCGCTTAATTGTCTAATAAGGTAAGTAAATAGTGCATTGTAGTGAACCGTACAAGCATAATCATTAACGACGCTATCACAAACCTGAGAGTTTGAGAGAGAGAGAGAGAGAGAGAGAGAGAGAGAAAAAAATAGAGGTAAACGATTATACAACCCCTCTAACTTTGGCGCAACATCTAACTTGCAAGAGATTTGGTCGCTATGATTTATAAAGAACATGTGCATTGTGTGTAATACGCAGATAATGTGAGTTTTAAGTAACTGAAAAGTGCGATTATACGGGAAATTGTTGCAAATTTTGGTCGAATGAAATAAAATTCAAGTTAAGAGACGAAACGACCAGTAAAACTTGATGCGCAGTGTCGAATTATAAATCAATAGGGGGATAAAATGCGGGTGGGGGTCGAACGACTGTTCTTTCAAGAATCAAAGGACAGTCGGTCGCGGACATTACAACGAGGGATGATTGTCTTGGGACATGAAGGGCAATGAGGGCGGACCTTTATCTTTGTCACAGCCTCCTCCACCATGTGGTTCTTAAGGCGCTTACGCCGTTTACGTCCCCCTTCCTCTTCCACCTCCACCGACCCGAGAAATTGTAGTCTGAAAACGGTCGTGGGCCCCAAGCAGCCACTGATCGGGGCCAGTTTCGGCTGGTGGGCCCCAAGCGCGTGCGACTCGGACTGGCCCCCACCAGAAGCGCTTCCTATAAGTTCTTCGCTCGAGTCGCATTCGTCTTCCTCTAGGCTTCCTTGCGAGGCAATGCTGCAGCGACCATACCCATGCTGCCCCCCATAGTTTAAGAGCGTTGCCTGCATCGGCCCATCATCCTTCCGTTATGTACGCGCCAAACAAACAAACAAACAAAGGCTCTGCTAGTCACACCTTGCCACGCACCACCGACAAAACGAGAGGCAAAAAGCCAATATGTTCATGATTTCTCGAGTTGCTAACGTACGGCTTGTTTTTTTTTGTTTTTTTTATTTCTCTCATATGCACAGTGACTCATGCTTCTGTGTCCTCTATCTGTATATATCGAGTCAAGTCATTCACATATACATATAAATGCAGCAGAGCTCGATGGCGTGTACATACACTTTTGCCACTTTCATTATGCATTCATCTTGCTCTCGAACAAGCGTATCATCACGGTATCTAGAAGCTGTGCAACGTGCAAGCGTATGTTACAGGTAAATGTAAATAAAGTTGACGAACAAGCATACGCGACAATTGCAATTAAATAAAACATATAAAATAGCGTTAATATATATAATTGGCTACATCAATCTTCAAATGTTTATCTAGCAACTCAGAACTCGAAGCCTGGGCTCTCTTATCGCAAAAAAACCAGTTCAGTTTCTTCAATTAGCGCCAATTATGCCGTATCGAAATATCAAGGAGATATAAGCAATCGAGATAAAAATATAGAATTATCATTTTCGGCGACAATAATTAATTTCGATTGAAAAAGTATGCCTTTTCAAAAGCAAATGCAGAGATCTGGATGCAAGCATAAGAAAAGTTCCTTTGCTAGTACCGTTCGAAAGCATCAAATAGGCACATAAGCTAATAATATGACTTATTTTAGAAAGCTTTATCGAAATATGATTCTGTAATATTAATCATCAAGAGTTAAATTTTTCATATAAACTCTTCAATCTTTGCATGTCCCTTTATTATTACACTAGTATATATAATGGAGCACAGCTTAGCAATCTTGCAATTAATAATAAATTATCATGCACATACTATCAAAAAAATTAATTAACGCCACAATTTCTGTTCTCACAATCACTCAGACATTTCAAAAGAGTCAGAAATTACTTTTGCGAGATCGTGCTCAATTATAAAGACATCATTTCCGAACATTTTAATTTCTGCTTAGCATGTAACTAAAATAGTTTTACAACGATAGAAACTAAAAAAATATTTCCATCCAATCCTGGTCTACTCAACTATGTAAGATCTCATCATGCTACGATAAGATATCGTAAAATCTTTAATCACCTACATTCTTATAAAATCTGATTAAACGAATAAATACATAAGCATAAGGCTAATCTTATAGGATACTGTCATATTAAAATAACATGGTATCGTTGTGTTATCTAGATTTGATTTTTATATTCCCAATTTCTTTCCTCTTTACTGATGCGTTACAGCGATTTATCTTGAATCTGAGGTAAAACATAAAAATATGTAATTATTGAGTAGACCAATATCTTCCGCGAGACGGATTTTTTGTCTGTGAAATATATCAATCAAGAATCTACAGGAAAGCGGATATAGCAAGCGGATAGCAGAGATATATATATATAAATATATATTCGTAAAAAGAGAGAGAGAAAGATTGACAGATACACAGAAATCACATCAAAATTACACTGAGAAGATGACAGTGTTCGGTGGTCAGGTGGTGGTGGTGGTGGTGGTGTTGGTGATGTGAGGAAGGGGGGCGCTACACTGAAACATTCAGGCCTTTTTGCACAACGGCCAGTTCACAGTTATATTTAGATTAATTGTATCACATAATCGAAATCAGCATTCAGATTCTTCTAAAAGGAGAAACGTTTTAAGAGCGATGGCAGTTTTTCATGATCATCGCATAAAAAAAAGAAAATGAAGTATAATACATAATCTTGTGATATATATCTAAATGCTGATGTTTGATTGCTTATGAGCAGAACCTAAGAGTAGGAGGAAAGAATGTACTGTTTTACTCGCTTAATATTGACAGTTTCCTTGGATATTGTTCTATCACAAATTATAAAAATCATAGAGACTAAGTGTAGTTAAAAAAAAAAGATATATCGCAGAGCTTATTATCAATAAAAATATACAATACCGGAAAACGGAAATGCAGTAGGTATTATATAAATATGATCTGTATGTCTATCTTCTAAAAGAGTATCTCGATAACTGTCTAAGATGTTGAAACACGCATATCTTTTCGTCTACGAAATTGAAGTACGAACGATGCGACTTAACGGACAGTATGTACTCTTTCCTACAGAAAACTCTCAGGTTTAACTAATCACTTATAAGATTCCAGCATTTTAACCATTTGAGGTAAATTAAGGATCTCAAAGCACACAATGGCACTGAAATATTTGGCGAAGATACGCTAATTTGATGCGCGTAAATTCCTTAAAATATAACTATCATAATATTTTCTAGCTATAGTTTTTCAATTCACGACTGCGCATCAAGAAATATTGCAATCTTAAAAGTCCTCAAAAAGTTAAAAACCTTAACACTGAAATACATATTATATTGCAGATGAGAATATTGCACTGTTGGTCACTACAAATTAAGTAGCAAATTAAAATAGTATAAAGCATTCAGAGCATGCTGCTAATTTTATCATGGTTATTATTATTTTATTTATAGTTTAATTTTAATAGTCCCTGGAGAAACAATTTTACGTTCTCTAAGAGATTTTCTAATGCACAGGACTCTTTCGTTTTGACAGTCGTCGCGTCGAAAAAGTAACAATTGGAACATTTCTAATTTATATATAAATTCTAACGCATCTTGTATTCGAAACTATATAATGCATCTTTCAAACTTAATGCTACTGATCTAAACAAAACACAACATATCATTTACTAGACGTGGATGCATTATCTATCAGATATATCGCTCGATGCTGACTTAATTAGTAGTTACTCTGCTCTTTAGAACAAACATTCTAGGAAAATAATATATGTATAGTTTTTAAGTAATTTATACATCACAATTAATAACTCATACTGTACTGTGTACATACTCGATGATCTTTGTTTTTTTTTCAACGTTTCGCATATCTTTAGAAGAAACAAGTGTTCTCATATACTCTATTTGCATACGAGATATTACGTTATTATGAATATTATGTTATTATATATACATATCTGTATATAATCATAAATATGTGTGTGTGTATATATATATATATATACTCACGTTTCTCGTATGCGAGCTATACAGGGTATTCCATACAAGGTAGAGTCCTTGTAAAACATAAGCATCTTTCCTATGACATAATTTTCCCAACTGTTTTCGGTATATCCATTTTTGAATATACCAATACAGTATATTTACTGTTTCATATGATTCTTTGTGCAAAAGTTTTTGTAATTCTATTATAACTAAGACTATTTATATTTTTATAATACAATATTGATATATATATTAAAAAATAAAATATTTCTAAATTGGTACGTTTCTGGAATAGATTAATTTTTTTTACAAAGAATATAGTAGTGCCTATCTATATGGGATATCCTGTATAACATTAGTTCACAAGGGGAGAAACGTTTGAGATAACGTGATAAATAAAAAATTAAAAAAAAAAAAAAAAAAAAAATTTAAAAAAGGAAAGACTGCGTTTTCGCATATGTACCTTTATTCTGGAAACGGCTTCCTCTGCTTGACACATTCGAGTTGACTTCGTCGGTTGACCCTCGCATACCAGTTGCGTGGATCCCAAATACCTCGCACGGAACAGGACACCTTCGATCAATACTGACGGATCGTTCAATAAATCTGAAAGCGCCACAGAAATATACCATTTAGTACTTTTCCCTTTTTTTTCACAATTTATTGTGCCAAAGGTAATTAAGCGCTTGGAAGAACATTCAGGTAGTTTAACAGAGGACTTGGGTACAGTATCCAATATCAGAGTCTTTGATCCTTGCATATTCGAATCTTCAGTTATCATTATGTTTTTCATATTCTACGCGTAGCGTATGAAATTATCAAGTTTGATATTTTATAATCTTCCGATTATCTTGATGGAAGTGAATTGTTTTCCACTTTTATTATATTCACGCACGCTTTTATTTTATTATATTTAATATCCACTTTTATTATACTATTCATAGAGAAGTTATGTATATTGTGCCTAATTAAAAGATGAATTTATTTTACGATTGTATGTAAGCACGACAAATATACGCTTGAAATGCACAGTCACTTCATATTCATTGAACATTACGTCCCGTAAAAGATTATAAACACTTATGTGAGTAAGGTTTGAAAATTGTTTACTTCTTCACTCAACCTCCCCACCTAAAGCACTTTAGGTGAGAAGAGGCAAAGTATAAAAAAGATCATAACTTCTGAATCCTTGATAGTGAAACTCTTGAATATAGTGCTTATCAATACAGTTGCCGATCTTATCAAGAAACACAAACAGAAGAATGTAATTATCTCATTTGAACGTACTTTTCAAACCTCCTAGCGAGATTTACAGATGATATTTATGTACATAAAGATAGTCTCATAAAACATATATCATGCGTACGGAATATTATTAGATATGGATAGATAGACCTTGAATTAGAGCAAGAAATATAATAAAAGTGTTAAGAGTATGATATTATACATACTACATACGAAAGTTAATAATGTTAATAATGAATTAAGTAAAAAAAGTTTATTAATAGTAATAATAATAATTAAATATTTTAATTTTTTTTAACAAAAAGGAATATATACAGATATAAAAAAAGAATACCTACCATATAAGAGTGATTAGAAGATGCCGAATTTATACATCCATGCAAGCAGTAGAAAGAAATATTATATTAATATCATAATTATTAATATCCGTAATAATTGGGGAAAATCGTTACGAAGTATCGGGAAAAGAATAATATTGACAGAAATGTGTGACAGTACCTTCCTTGTTTCTGCTCTTCTTCTTTCCTTCCTTATCCTGAAAAACAAAACGTAATTTGCATGATATCACAGATAAGACTTTGACAAGTATAGTGACAAATTTCATAGATATATAATATATTTAATCATTTAAGCAATAGAATATATGTATATATACAATATGCTAACCATGCAATAACTGTTATATAAAAAAGCCAATAAACAAAATATGTTAACATGTTCTTTATTTATAATAAATAAAAGTATTAAAAAACTGTAGAGTAAAAAAAGCAATAGTAATAGTATCAGAAATAATAATATTATGAACTGAGCTCTAAATATTACTGACTTTTCATTCCTTTCCGTTTTTATAAATCAATTATAAGAATTACTTCGTTCCGCAAAGCACAGGAAAAAATTATATAGTATTTCATTTTTATTGCATTATTTGTCAAGAAAAAATTATTCAATATGCACTATTTCTATAAACACAGGATTAAAGCTATTTCTGTTACAAATTAAAAAAAGCATAATAAGCGGAAGCTGTGAAGAAAAGCTGTGAAGAAAAGCTGTGAAGTAATCGGATAACAAAAAAATACCCTCCTTTTTAATAAAAAAAAATCAGCTTAAACATTTTTATTAATTATTTATCAAATATTATTAAATACATTTAATTTTTTTATTATTGTGTAAAAAATTATTTTTGCTAAAATGTGTATATTAACTATATTATCAATAATATTTTAGTAACTATCAATTGTACCTATGTATTATCATATTGAAAATTTTACTTAAAAAGAGATTGATATGTGACATATATTATATTTAAGCTGATTAGTACCTATTTCATTTAGCAACAGAAAAATAGCATACTGTCATGCATCAATATTTCATTACAAAGAGCACTTAGAGAGATATAGATATCTACAGTCTCTAAGTAAGAACAAATATTCCGTGGTAGCATTTGAAAGGGCACCTTTTTCACCTTGTTGTTGGATTCCTTGAGGCTCTGAGGGGATGAGGGAGAGTTTTTGACTGGGGTCTTCTGCGGACTCGACGTGGGTTGCGCGGGAGTAGCTACTTCGCACTCGTTAGAAGACGACGATTGTATAACGGATACTACGGGAGGTGGGGAGATCGAGGTAGACGTCGAGGGTACGGGCTCGGAAGGCGCTAGCGTTTCTATTGGGGCGACACTTAAGGTTTTGGGAGGGGTTTGCTTTGGTGTAGCGACTTTCGCATTCATTGGCGGTAACATTGTCCTAGTTTTAGGCTTCCTCCACCCCTGTGTAACACCAAGACGATATTAATTGAACACCGATACCAATCAAATTGTACAGAATATACGGGAAATGCGCGTTATTTGTATCCCTTTTCACCTAAATTTAAACGCACCGCCACCGCCTCGACATTACCTAGTAGAAGAAGTTACAGTGTATGCATATATATGTATATTGTTATAAATGTGCGTTATAACTTCGTTGTTTAATTAAGGGGTTATAGAAGTCTAGCAAAAAAAATAAGATACTTTTTAACATCGCGTAAAATTTAGTTTAAAAAATTAAATAAATATTTCTTTATTAAAAAAATATATATTTTTATATTAATAAGAAAACCAAAATAAAAAATTGGTAAAGATAGTAAAA